CTGATGATGGGGTGTACAATCAGAGACGATCATCACAACACTCACCTATTGCTGAAGCACGGGACACAATAAAATCTGAGCTATGTCCTACAGAAACAGCTGCTAAATTTGGACTTCTCAGCCAGCTTTTGAAACAGCAGAATGCTACCTACCATTCAAACCCACATACCAGGCTCCTCAGAAATTCTGTAAAAGAGGAGCCAGTGGATTTTCAGAGCCCTTTTCCTAAGAAAAGAAAACTGTGCATTGAGCTAGCAGAGCACCTAAGTAATGAACTCTGTCAGCCGTCTCAAGATACCACTAGTGACAATCTGGTGTCTGGAACACCTGAATTTAAAGGCAGAGGGCTGGCAAAACCAAAAGAAGAAGAGTTAGTAGGGAGTCCTAGGAGCAAAACCCCTCTCTCCAGAGAAAGCCAAGGCTTCAATGTTCTTAAGCAACTCCTCCTGTCAGAAAACTGTCTGAAAGAGCTACCCCAACCCAGAGGGACCCCAAGTCCCTTCATCCCTCAGGCAGACTGTGCAGCCAATGGGAACTTAACCCAGTCTTATTTACCTCAAGAGTTGTCATACTTACCGTGGTACCCCTATTCTCTCAATACAAATCCCAAAACACCTGCACCTGTTGATACCACTGGGGGGTCGCTAGTTTGGGCTAAGGGCTCTCCTAAAGCCAGTCCTAAACCTGTTAAAAAAGAACCTGAGGGGTCTCCTGGAGAAACTTTTATCAGGGAGGAGAGATCCAGTCCAGACTCACCCCCTTTAACCAGGTCTAATCCGATTCTTTACTACATGCTTCAGCGGGGGAACGGTCAGCTCAGACCTGAGATCCCGGATCAGGTGCAGCCGGCCCACTGCGTCATGGGTGCAAAAGTGGAGTCGTGTATTGACTATGAGCACAGAATAAACTCTACAGTCCACAGACAGACTCACAGCTAGAGAGAAGAGAGCCTAAACGGCTCTATGAAAAAATGGTAGATATGAACTGCCAAAGACTGAGAGAAGCTGAAGAACTGTGTATGTTCATTTGTCTATTATATCGTTTTTTTTTTCATTTAAAAACAGAAACTGAATAAATGTAACCATGGGACATGGCAGTTCAGTTTAAAACATTTGGCTTTTGCCACTGCTTTAAATGGTTTAATTTGTCCATTTGTTTGATTTGTTATTTTTACTGATGTCATAAGGTGATGCTCCGTGATATAATTATTTTGTATGCATATATTGGAATGTTTGTTTTTTTTTGTATGTATGCTAAGCTAACTGCTTTGTCCAGCACAATGTAAAATGTCCACCATGAAAAGCTTTTCCTTTTTCCACAACTGAAACATTTATGAAGAACATCCTATTATGTGTATTATTGATGAATCCAGAAATGTTACTGCTAATTTCACAATATATTTATCTACAGCCAAATCAGGACCCTTTTCATTTTATTGAGGCAAAGAAAATTGTACATTCTAAGCACAATATTGGATTTGTGGCATTGAAATGTTTAGTTATAAAGTATATTTTCTTACAGCAGAATATAAAGGAATGTCAGTGTAATCTATCAGGTATCTTTCTTGTAAAGCTAGCTGAGGTCAAGAGGGTTTTCACATGTGATCACAAGGCAGCAACATTTACTGGAATGTTCTATAATTGTAGCGTAGTCAGATTTACAGTGCTTTATTTTTCATCAGGAATGAAACTATAGCTGTTATGTGGTGATAATGGCATGACGTTTAAAGGTGTCATAGGATGCTACATGCACTTTTACAAGTTGTTTGAACTGAAATGTGTGTTGGCAGTGTGTGTACACAACCACCCTATAATGATAAAAATCCACCCAGTGGTTTTTTAAAAATCTGGTTAAATGTTTTCCCCTTTCTCAAATCGAGCCGATCTCAGATTCCCCTCCCACGATAGTTTGATTGACAGTAGCGTTTCAGCACAGACTGGACTGGTGTCTTACCTCAGACCCACCCTGAGTGACTGTCATCAGTCCGCCATTGTTTCACCGCTGCAGCAGATGTAGACAAGAATGACTCTTAAGCGATTGAGGTCTTCTGTTGTTGGATGTTATAATGAACATAGCAGTCGTCATTTACTCCCGACATCTGAGCCGCTGAACTCGCAGTGGATTACATTGTTTCTGAAGGGAATGCGCCCCCGATCTACATAAATGCGTCTATGTTTGCGTGAATCATTCATGATCCAGCCTCATCTACAGAAGAAGTGAGCATAATGTTTTGTAATGAATCCTTGCAAATCGCCTTTCTTAATAATGTGCTAATTAGCAAGTTTCACGATGAATGCGGCTGAAGTAAACGGTCTCTCTGAGAGCAGCTCGGAAGAGAGGGGCGGGGTCAGCATAGCTCATTAACATTTAAAGGAAAATGCTACAAAAATGGCTTGCGCTGAAAAGAGCTGTTTTTGACAGGGTAAAAAAAGGGGTTTTTTCACTACCATTGAACATTTTTAACCAAACTGTGTTACAGACTTTTCATTAAGACCCTAAAGAATCATATCAACTTGTGGAAAATGGGCATCCTATGACCCCTTTTTGTTTTGTATCTTATCTAAAAATCCTATATGTAGCATTTACGGTGTTGACAAGAATTTGAATATTGAAAGAGGTGATACAGTTTGTCCAACAAAGCCATGAGGGGTAATTATATTTATGGATACTGTTTGAATCAGACACTCTACTGAGAGAAGGGATTGGAATTCAGTCTGATTCTTTAGTTTTTTATGTTCACTTTATTTGCATCTTTTCAGTTTTTTTTTTTTTTCAGATAAAGGCCCATCACTTGAGTCTTATATCTATCTATCTATCTATGTATTGTTCTTTCATTTAGTTATCTATCTCTATCTATCATCTATCTATCTATCTATGTATGTATTGTTCGTTCATTCATTTAGTTATCTATATATCTATCTATATCTGTATTGTTCGTTCGTTCATTTAGTTGTTCAATATCTATCTATCTATGTATTGTTCGTTCATTTAGTTATCTATCTATCTATCATCTATCATCTATCTATCTATCTATGTTTTCTGTCTATAAAATCTAAAAGCCTTTGAAATTCAAGGCTTTTAGATTCAAGGCCCCTAAAATTCCAGTTTTGTCTTAACAAACTTTGCTTTTATAGTTAGTTACTTGTATGTGAGGCTTTTTAAATTCAATGGATTTTAATTCTACTTCCTTACAATTCTGTATCAGTTCAAATTCGAGATCTGAATTGTAATATAAAAATCATTTTCAATTTAAATCTGAATGCAGCACAACCTGCATTGTTTGTTGTGATTACTATCTTTTTTTCTATTTTTTTTAACAAGAAGCTGCTTGAAACAAGGTACACTGTGAAAAGCCGTGTAAATGAATTCAACTTTCTTTTATATGAGCAATAAGCCACTAGGGGCTGTGCATTATAGCAGTTTTTCCCCCATCTGAAGGCATTTTTCTGTGTGAACACAAACAGCCATTAACTGTGGTAAAATCACTCAAACACATGTCTTGGTCTGGCCTCTTTCTTTAATCAGGAGATATTCTATGTTTCCATTGTTTCACCCGCTCCCCTGTGCTGGATGCTGGTGAAGGTGAGCTTCTTGAAGTCTGTGCCAGAGCCTCAGGGGTTGTGACCTTTGTCTCTCTCTCTGACATCTTCAGCTCACTCACTGTGGTTGATCTGCAGTTGCCCTGCAGCTGTGACCCCCTTCCTCCCTCCCTCCCATTTCCCAGCAGCCCCCTCTTCAAAGGCCACCAGAAATGTGACAGCTGGCAGAAGAACTTCTCCTTTCATTAAGAGCGCTCACTGAGCCCTGTTGTTGATCGCGGGCAACTGGTGGTGTGTTGACCTCGTGCCACGGAGCATATAAAAGAGCTTAAAATTGATTCACACTTAACTTATGTTGGAGTTAACGTTTCATGGCTTAATGGCACGATAAATGGACTGGTACTTCAAGTTCAGTGCTGGAACAGATGTGGTCTTGTGACCTTTGATAATGTAAGGCGTTGTTCATGATATGAGAAAACCTTGAATATGCAAGCTCAGTCAAACAAGTTTTCGTTATCAGTCTTATCTTTTCATGGAAGATTTTTTAATTTACTTTAATAAATAGAACAATTATTAAGTCTGAGAGCAGATTGGAAATTAAATATTAAGTTGAAAGTGGTTATTATATATTCAAATTATAATAAAACTTTAACAAACTAATAAATAAAGGAAGTATGATTTATTATATATTATTTTATGAAAAATATTATTATATATTATTATACAGTATAGTGGTCTCCGTATTTTTGACCCTGCTTTGTATAATATTAATAAATTAATAAAATACAAATATAGTTTTTTATTCAAATTATAACGATTAAAACTTTAATAAACTAATTAGTAAAGATATATAGAACATATTTCATATATTACATATTTCTCTTATTGTGACTGCAGATTTTTATTTTTATTTTTTCAATATTTAAATAGAATTAAAATTGTAACATTATGAAATATTTGTTTTAATTATATATTATTATATAACGTATAATTAACTCTACTTTGTATAATTTTAACAAATTAGTACATTAAAAATATATGGAAAAATACAATGTAAAGATATAATAATATAACATATTTTAGATATTATATATTAATTTTTTCTCTTTTTGTGATTTATTTATTTTATTATTATTTATTTTTTCTTCAGATTTTTAAGAAACTTTTTTTTTTCTTTAAAGATGTTCTATGTATGACCAGCTCAAATTCAACTTCATGGGTCATGGACTTTTAGTGCAAACATTTCTACAAATCATTTTTAAATGTGAAAGCGTGCTTTAGTGTCAAGCAATCTCACTGAGGCCATGAGATTAGAACTACTGGTTCTGAGTGCAAAGGTCAGAGAGTGACTGCCGTAACCAACACATATCTACAGAATATTGCCGAAGATTCATTTCCACTTTCAAAGTTGAGGAAATTCCCCAGACTGACCCGCAAATCCTTGAATTAGGCTTCATATAAATGTTAAGAGAGCTGAGAGTTGATACAGAGGTGGAGGTCAGATTTATTTGATTTAGTTTGATTAAAAACATGAATTCTTCACTGTGAATTCTTTGTGAGGAACATGCCAAGTTACTATGAATGTTATTTTTAATTTAACTTTACAGATTACAGCTGTAACATGAACTGACATAACTCACATAATTGCATTATGATTACATTTTAGTGATCTCTGACCTGTAAATAAAAATCTTATGTAACCAGAGAGAGCTGTGCTTAATTACAGTACAGTAAAAAGTTTTGATATTTTTCAGATTATTACTGTAGATACACACATGCAGTGAAATATCCCACACTATAAGGATCACCAGAGACCAAACTCCAAACTCTCTTGTTCTCATGTATGTGACGGATTCAGTGCTTTGTGCTTCTCTTGCTCTTAAAGATAAGTGCATAGCATTCATCAAACAAGGTCTAAAAAGCACAAACATCCCCAACCTCTCATTAATGACTTCTTGAGTCCTCTTGGCCTTTACTCTGCTGTCTGGCTGGGTCAGAGCTTATGCAACGTTACATTGACTGAAAACATGTACATGAGCGCCACCTGCTGGCAGGACACGGCGCTCTATCTATCTATCTATCTATCTATCTATCTATCTATCTATCTATCTGTCTGTTTGTTTAAAAATGTGTTTCTCCTGTGTTTTTCTTACAGCACCAGCAGACATTACTGAACCAGCTGAGGGAAGTTACTGGAACTACAGATGTTCAGCTGTTACAGCAGGCACTGCAGGTGAAATATCGGTTTCATAAACTCAGTAACTAGTATAGTATGGCTCGTATGCTTTATTTGCAACAGATTTGGTAGATGCAAATTTGATATTATTTGCTCAAAGACTAGTAGTTTTATATTGCATGTAATGACAGGTGTTTGAACATCTGTATTTGTGTCCAGGTCAGTAACGGTGACCTAGCTGAGGCGGTGGCCTTTCTCACTGAGAAGAACGCCAAGGTCCCGCAGCAAGATGAAGCCACCTATTACCAGACGGCCCAAATCACCAATGATAGATACATCAGTGTGGGCAGCCAGGCTGACACAAGTACGTATTTAAATCTCAGAACAATGATTGGCCGGAATCCAGGGGAAGGTTACACTGCTCTGTGATACAGTGCGATCAAATGCCATGACGCAAATGAAAGCTGAGTGAAGAACCAGCTGTAAATGCTCTGTTCCTGACAGCAAACATAATTTCTCTGCTTTAGATTTCAATCTGTGCCTGAACTTAAGTGGGATTTTAGGATTGATACATTAACTTCAAAACTGCAGGAGTAAATTAGCACTGCTGGGTTGAACCAGAGAATTCATATTTATTCCACACACCCTGCTGAAAGAAAAGAGATACTGAAATGAGACATCATGTAACCCATAACAGTGGGAGTTCTGGCAGCTCTCTTATAAATACAAGCTCATCATCTCCGAGAGCCAGACCTTTAAAAAGCCAGTCTGCCACTTCTCCCAGCTTGCTTCAAATGATGATGAAACAATCTCTAGTTCTACTGCTGAGAAAATGCTGACAGAGGGAATGTTAGTTTGGCATGCTGCCTCGTGTTTTTATTTGAGCTCTCGACATGCGCTTAAACCATATTCAGGATTTTCTCCGTCGCTGTGACAGTGTGTTCTAACCTCTTGACCAGCCGATTAATTGGGTGATATTTAACAATTTTGATGTTCTCGACAAAAGTGTTCAAAATCCAGTGACTGCCTCAATTAAAAAATATATATATTTCTGAGTGAATTTTGTGTAAGTGCTATGTAAAATAAAAGTTCATTTAACTGTGATGCATGTAATATTTTTAATGTAGTTTTTCATATCCCAATTTAATATGTAGAGAAAACTATTAGTCAAATCAAATTTATTTGTTGGCCTTTATACAATACAGATTGTTTCAGAGCAACTTCACTGTAATAAACAGAAAAAATCACGGTGTTGTTGCTTTTGCATGTATTTTTAAACTCAATGTTGTTAAGTTTAATCATTATTAAATCTTATTATATACTAGAATTTTAAATATTTGTATATTTTAATATCATATATTTGTATACATATTAGATAAGTAGATAAATATAAAAACACATACTCATCATTTGCTAGTAATCCACGTTCAGTGTTCCTGTGATTGTTTCAGATGTAATAGATCTCACTGGAGATGATAAAGATGACCTTCAGAGGGCCATCGCTCTCAGTCTGGAGGAGTCGAACAGGGCCTTCAGGGAGACGGGCATCACTGATGAAGAGCAGGCTATCAGCAGGTGGGGTTTTACTTGTGCTTTTAACTTTTAGCCTGCTGAATATTTTGTATTATTGTAGATTTTAGTACAAAAAAGTGTACCACATTTCATAACGGTTTTATATGTGGAGTAACCAGACAGGAGTAAAGTTTGGTATCTTTGTGCTTCAGAGTCCTGGAGGCCAGCATCGCCGAGAACAAGGCGAGCCTGAAGCGCACGCACACAGAAGTATGGAGCGATTCACCCAACCCTCACGACAGGAAGCGGCAGGAGAACTGTCCCGTAGGGCTGAAGAACGTGGGGAACACGTGCTGGTTCAGTGCAGTTATACAGGTCAGTGTCAGCCGCTGTGATTGCTTTACAATTAGAAACACATTTGCTTATTTAAAGCTGCAGTCCGTAACTTTTTTTGGTTAAAAATGATCCAAAATCAGTATTTACAGCCAGTGTTCAAAACTATCGCCTTACTTCCCAATTCACAACGGTTAGCTTATAATACTGTTTTCGAATTTGAGTGGTACAGGTAGGTTTTCGCAGGAAATTCGAGCATGGCGCTGCATCATTACGTCTGTAAACATAAAGAAGGTGTCCTGGCTACTAGGCTATCGCATATGAGGATCCTGCAGGTGGAGGATCGTTTACAACCTTTTCTCACAGCAGTAGAAATAATTAAATGTATCATTTTGATGGCGGATTGTAATCCAGAAAGGAGTATGTGTTTTATGAAACACATGTGAATGAAATTAAATTATATTCTAGTTTTAAATGTGCATCTGATTACAGATAGCCTGGGATTACACAAGATTTGTATTTTAAAGACAACCAGTTCGAAGGGAGCATCATTTGCTTTTTTGGTTAAAAGAATTTCTTAATATGAAATTCGAATGGTATGACAATTAGAGATTAGACTGTACAGAGATTGAAATCTACACGCTAATACACACTATAGGCAATGCTGATGTTGTTAACATTAATAATTTGAGAATAAAGTATAACAATAATAATAATTTGTATGGTTTGATGTGATATGAGCTAACCGATATTTAGATTAAATCACCATTAGTAGCGTGATTTAATGTAATGCTTTTTTCCTCAGTTGTTCAGAACAAACGTGGCAGACTTGTTACTTACTTGTTCAGATGACAATATACAGTGAAAATTCTTATTTTGGTCATATATTCTAAGATGTAGGCTAGAATCTGTGATTGCGAAGTACAGTGAACATCCACACCGGTGCGGTGACTGACTGCCACACATACTCCTCAAAACATTAGATTCATCCTCGCTGGAGCCATGCCGACTCACAAACCCACGCAAGGAAGATAATTCCGCAAACAGCTGCAATTGCAGGTTTTCAAACAGAGATGGAGACAAAGAGGCAAAACTTACGGACTGCAGCTTTAATGAACTGAAAAACAACAAATGACAGCTTAATGAATTTATTTTAATTGTGTCTTATTGCTTGCATAATACTCCAGACAATTTGATTATGGTAGTCCCACGTGTGTTTCAGTCTGAATCAAATTGAGTGGCCTTGTATTGCAGTTATTAATGCAGAGATACTGCTGTATTAGTGCTGTTAATTGCATCAGTATATTTAATTAGGAGAGGATGAAATGAAATATGTGCATCTAGATGGTGCTGGATCATGTTTAGAGCGCTGGGGTAGATGAAATATGCCAAGAAACTATATAATAAACAACACTCAAATGTTTGAAAGAAATTAATACTTTGATTTAGCAAGGATACATTAATACATCATGATAAAAAATTACTATTATGACATTTACAAAAAATTTTCAATTTCAACTTGAACGTTCTGTTCATCAAAGAACAGAAAGAAAGAAATGTTTCATAAGCAGCAAATCAGCATATTAGAATGATTTCTGAAGGATCGTGTAACACCAAAGACTAAAGTAAAGTCAGCTAAAAATTCAGCTTTGCATCACAGGAATAAATTAACATTTAAAATGTATTATAATAAAAAAATGTTATTTGAGCTGTAATGTTATAATAATATTGTAATAATATATTCTATTATTATATTTTCAATTTCTTTTGCATCAAATAAATGCAGCTTCAGTGAATAAAAGAGACTTCTAAAAAAACAAAAGAATCTTACCGACCTCAAACATTTAAACTGTGTGTATATGGGTGTATATAGTATTGCTTATTAGCATAATTGTAAGTTATTTACTATTAACAAGCATCTTAGCACATTAATAGCACTCATTTTTGTGTTTGTATATCTGCTTTTTAAAACAACTTTGAAGGTGACTTCAAGTCCTACTAAGGCCTGATTGTTTGTGTCTGTTATACGATGTCAGAACATGAACCATATTGGTAGCTGAGTAATGATCGTTGAGTACTGTCACATGCTGTTTACCTCCAGTGTGTAACCTGACGCCTGAAGAAGCCCCCGCTCATGTAAGAAGCGCAGCCGCTCTGGTGCTCACAGCTCTGTGGATTTATAGATCTGGATGAGGAGACACTAAATGTGTAAATCTGTCACCAAAAACAATCAATCAGTCATTCACACAATGAAACTGTAGTGACACTTCAACTAAGCATGATAAAAATGCGTTTGCGGGAAACACATGCAGTCTTTTTATTTTGTCAAACCAACATATCATCACAAAGTTGTGTTGACATTAGAGCTGTTGCACACTGATCCCAAATACTGATGTTTATCTTTTTATCTATATTTTTCAGTCTCTTTTTAACCTGCTGGAGTTCCAGAGACTGGTGTTGCATTATCCCCCCCCTGCACGGATGCAGGACTTGCCCCACAATCAGAAGGTGAGATTGCCACCCGATAGCCAGCTCACATGCCATAAGAGCTTCCATTTCTCTCCAGCAACTGTGACCTTGCTTGACCTGGTTGGAAAGCCTCAGTTACATGCTGTGAAATTATCGTACTGTTGCAAGCACTGATTTTCACCTAACTGACTGGCCTGTGACCAGAGGAGCTAAAGCAGAGGAAGTGCTTTTTCAAGGTCCCTGTATTCTAGCTGTTAAACTGTCACATCAGCTTCTGTGTTCGGCTCAGCAGGCTAGCTGCTGTCTGTGTGATTTCTTTCTTCAGTATGTTCCTCTGGGGCCCCGAGCCTGTGAACAGGGTCAGCAGACATGGCCGCTAATCTGAGTTTAACCTCATCCACTGATAGAAGACCACAGAGCCCTGGATTCATCCTTTTCTCTCTCTTTATTGCTCGTACTTCTCATCTGCTGGGTCGGTGGAGAAGCTCTTATTTTATAGACTTTAAGCAACTAATCAATTAAAAGTGTCCTCTGAAGAAAAGAATCATGATGATGTGATCTGGTGTAGGTTTCTGACCCCTGTATGACTTTGAGATTGTTGTAAGGCATATATATCCTTACTTGAGAGTTGACAGACCTAACTAATCAACTCTAATCATCCAATTCCACTCAACTATTTGCCATCATACCCTATATCAATGTTAAGTTAAAATACAACTCCCCAAAACCAGTGATACATTTGACATTTTTATGCATTTGGCTGACATTTTATGTCAGTTATGTAAGGTCCACGCGACTGGCCCAAGGAAGGTATCCAGTGGCGGATGAAGGTCTCTTGCGTGTTCGGTCTTTTCAGCGCGCAGAGTTATTCAATTTAGGTTTAACTCAATCGGACTCCATTTTAATATCTGAATTCTAATTTCGGTGCCAGACCTGGGTGGTCTACACCTCAATGGGAACAAAAGGTAATTTGCATGGGATTGCTCTCTACGGTGATCAAAGTTTCTCTTAACTCTTAGGATCTGTATTATCTTTTAGTAAGATTAAGACCATTGTACCACTTGCCCTGAAACTATTCAAATGAAACCAAACATGACTGTAAATCTTATTTGCATTCATTTAGAACATTATATTCTTGACCAGTTTGAGTGAATCCAGTGGAGGGAGGAGATGAAAAGGCACAGATGCATATGTGAGAGGGGCGTTTCCCGCACCACCCCTCTGTGGGGTGTCCTGAAGATGCCAGTGCATTGTTTGCCTCTCAGGAGATCAAAGTATTCTAGTTTCTTTTATCCTTACAGTCACATACTCCTTGGGAATCAAACCCATGACCTTGATGTTGCTGGTGCTATGCTCTGCTGTCTGAGCTGCAGGAACACTTCATGTGTTATTAAGATTTTAATTTGTTCTCCATTTGCGTTCCCATAGGAGCACAGGAACCTGCCTTTCATGCAGGAGCTGAGGTGCCTTTTTTCTTTGTTGGTGGGTTCCAAGAGAAAGTATGTGGACCCATCCAGGGCCGTGGAGATCCTCAAGGATGCCTTTAAGTCCAGTGAATCTCAGCAGGTAAGTTTCTGTCATGTACATACAGTATGTAGTCTTAAAGGTACAGTACACCTTAAAGTCTTAGAGATCTTACAGTAGAAACAAAAAGAGTTTCAATTGAGTCCAGTTAAAACAAGAATACATTCGTTCAGGATTTGATTTGTTGTGTTTGTTTGTACAGCAGGATGTGAGTGAGTTCACCCATAAACTCTTGGACTGGCTAGAAGATGCGTTTCAGATAAAGGCAGAGGAGGACAGGTAAGACCATATACGTCCCACCAGAATATCTGATGACGCTTTCACAAGCTTTCCACTGTATCTCGGTGTTCCTCTGTCATATCAGTCAGAATGATGTATGACCGCACCACTTTTTTTGTATGTATGTAAATGTTTTTAAAATTATTTTTGTCTGTGTTTTTGAATATTTTGTAAGATGTGGGAAAATCTCACATTGTCTTGAATCATTTCCCAGTGGTAATCCAACCAACATCAATGGTGTCATTGTAATATTTGTGTAATTGTTTTTTTTCTTCCATTAATTAGCATGCTGAATTTTGATTGGCCTATTCTTTCTTGCATTGATTTCATTTTATTTTATTTTTCTGGTAGTTTTCTAACCTTGTCTGGTGCACTTTGAGAATCCAGAATTAAGAGCTCCAACTCATTTTCCATGAACAGAGTAAAAAGTCTTTGCTCATACCTGTACTTTAAAGTGGACTTGAACATTTTTTGTTTTGGTTTGTTTCAAGTTGTTTCTTGATTCCTTGAGCAAGTACTAAGGATTCTGTATATGCAATGCAAAATACTTATGTCTGCAATTGATTCCAGGTACATGGACAGGAACAGAGACATCACGCGGATAAAACGAGAGGAGATCAGAAGACTAAAGGAGCACCTGACCGTTCTTCAGCAGCGACTGGAGAGGTTTGTTAACTCTATTTAGCCTCTGCCCTGATCTAGAAATAACTTGCTGTTAACTTACATAGCAGGAAAATTTCAGCTTTCCACATGAAAGAAGCTTTTAGATTGTTAATGAAAATATGAAAGTCACATGCTTTGTGACTTATGCATCAGTTGTGACTGTATTTTTCATGAGTAACAGAATACAGACTGACTAAATGTTTCATATTTTTCTGCTGTCAGTTCATAGAACACTAACCCTCATTTGTGATCCGTTTTTCCTCAAATTCTGTCTATGACAGGTATCTGAGCTATGGCTCAGGGCCTAAGCGGTTTCCTCTGGCCGATGTTCTCCAGTTCGCCATGGAGTTTGCGTCCAGCAAACCTGTGTGTACATCGCCTGTGGAGGACATTGATACAACAGCACCACCTGGTGCCACGACTGCACTGTTGCCACTTCCAGCAAGGCAAGTTTTTTTCACCTGTCTCAAAACTGAAAATTTATTTAGAATAGCTCTTGTTTTTTTGCTAATGCAATACATTTATGAGATATTAATAAAGTGTTTTTGTGCATGGACTACAGCACAGGGGAGCAGCCGGATGCATCTGTCCCACCCGAGGGCTCCGGCTCTGGTCTACTGGCCCAGCAGCAGCAACAACAACAGCAACAACCACAAAGAGTTTCGATCCATAAACCGTTCACTCAGTCTCGTGTGCCGCCAGATCTACCCATGCACCCCGCCCCACGACACATCACAGAAGAGGAGCTGCGGGTGCTGGAGGGCTGTCTGCACCGCTGGAGGAGCGAGGTGGAGAACGACACCAGGGGTACAAACGCACATGCATGCAAACATATGCTTATACTTATACAGCCCGATTTCTGTTTCCTGTTGTTTCGGGCTTTGTACATTTACATGTTTCTGTCTGGTGTGTGTCAGATCTGCAGACCAGTATATCTAGAATCCACAGAACCATCGAGCTGATGTATTCTGACAAGTCCATGATGCAGGTGAGAAGCTTTTTGATTTTTCAGATTGTTTCAGAAATGACCCCAAAACGAGCTTGTCTTGTTCATGATGATGCGTTTCAGGTGCCGTACCGGCTGCATGCTGTTTTGGTCCACGAGGGTCAGGCTAACGCAGGTCACTACTGGGCGTACATCTTCAACCCACATCAACAGCGATGGATGAAATACAATGACATTTCGGTGACAAAGTCATCCTGGGAGGAGCTGGTGCGAGACTCGTTCGGTGGATATCGCAATGCCAGCGCATATTGCCTCATGTACATTGATGATAAAAAACCCTTCCTTATTGAAGGTAACCTAATCTTCATATGCAAATGTATTCATTAAGTAGTGTCTTATGAATTATCAACACAGCTAATGAGCTGAGTAGTGAAATCTAAAGGCTTCAACTTTCTATTCAAAGATCAAATGGAATTGGTGATCAATTTATTAATTAACAAATAAAAATTTTAATAAATTACTTTTCAAATTGCAAAAATGAATATGTCTAAAATAGTGTATTTAGTTAATCAATTTATTAATTTAAAAATTAAATATTAAAAATATTTTATTAATATATTCTTTTATTGTTACAAATATGATTTAAAATAAGACTTATTTACATTTTTACTTTTTAATTAATAAATTGATTCCTTATTTATAAGTGACACTCCAAGTCTTCAATAGTTTATTTATTTGTATTTTGGGTACAATTTGTCCCGTTGAGGGTGTTTTCAAAGAAGCTTTTTTTTTTTTAAATGTTAAAATTAAAGTGTTTTTTAAGGTGTAGGAATTGGTTTCAAACTGTCTGTCAAAATCATATTTGGCTTAATTAAAAAAAATAGCAGGTAAGATACGTTCTCATTTAACTCCTGAGAAATGCTGACTCCATGCTTCTGTGTATCTCAGAGGAGTTTGATAAAGAGACGGGGCAGATGCTCAGCGGCTTGGACAAGCTCCCTCCTGATCTGAAGGAGTATGTAGAGGCAGATAACAAGCTCTTTGAGAGGGAGATGGAGGAGTGGGACGCTCTACAGGCACGCAAACTCCAGCAGGAGAAACTGGCTCTGGCCGCCGCCAGTGTGGCCGCCCAGCCCATGAGCACTGAACCCTGCCCTCCAAATAACACAGGTGAGCCTTTCACATGTCTGAATCTGTGGCCATACCATCTGAAACAACTGTCCTGAGCTCATTCTCTGCTTTCTCAGCAGCCCCTCAGCATGACCCAGAGTACATGGAGCAGCAGTCGCCCACCGGAGACTCCAAACACCTGCAGGAGGACACGGAGAGAGCCATCAGCAAAGCCGCAGCTGAGCATGATGAGAAGAGTCCAGAAGCACTGCTCAACACAGTAAGACATACATAAACACATGATGTACAAGGTCTGAGTCCTTCAGACAGTTCTGGAGACCAAAACACTCTTTAAAGGGTGCGTTTAGAAAGTTCTGCTGTTCTGTAGTTGGATGTAGAGCAAACATTCATGTCTACAAATAAAGAAATGCCAGTAGGTTTAAATTGTGTGTAATTCTTTTGTAGGATGTGAAATTTGTGTTAGTTTTCATCTCATACTGTTCATGCTTTTTCCATCTGTCTTATAAACACTGAACTTTGGGTATTTGGTTCTAATCACTCAAATATCAAAAAAAGAAAAAGAAAGAAAGAAAAAAGCACTTTATCCATGTTGTGTTGCATTTGTGCTTTGCTTCATCCATTTGAATAATGTGCCATTTTTTTAAAATAATTATGCAGTCATTTTCTTATTATGCAAATAAGGTTCTTCATTCGTTATATTACTCATTATTTACTGTGGATAGAGAAGTGCATGTAGCTTTAGCTGATGAGGTTCTGTGGGTTTTGCTGACGATTAAGATTGGATTGACACCAGCCTACAATATTTCAGTACTGATACTGATGAAATGTCAATATAAATAATTCAATGTAAATAATTTGTAATATATTTTTGTAGGTCATATACATTCAGTTTTTAAGGAGAAAAATACATTGTAATTTTTCAAATTATTTGTGTATTGTGTTCAGCAATTCATTTGTAATTCATCAATAATTAAATGTAAATATTTATATTCTTGTAGGTGACATTTAATTATGTTTAAGGAGAGAAAACTAAATAGTAATTTGTAAAACAATTTGTATGTGTAGAGTTTTGCAACTCATTTGGAATTAATCAGTAATTATAATAAATTTCATTAAAATTTAAATTAAATATATTTAATAGTGTTTAACTATTTAATAGTAATAGTTATTTTTAAGGAAAGCAAAATAGTATGTTGTACAGTTATTTGTATGTTTTGGGTTTGACAATTAAAATGTAATTCATCAAAATATTATTTAAAACTATAATTAAAATATTTTTAATTAATTGTTTTTCTTTAGGTGAAACGTTCAGTTTTAAGTAGAGAAAACAGTGATTTGTCAAATAATTTTATGTGTTGTGTTCGGCAATTCATTTGTAGTTCATCATCAATAATTATAATAAATGTATATTAATTAAAAGAACACACAGACATTTTACTCCCCACGTAGTTTCATTCATTCATAAGCTGTCTCAGAGGTTGCATTTGTCATCAGTCATCGAGCTTGTCTCATTTCAGAAAAGTCAAAATGAGAGTAGCAATAGTTTGATTTCCCTGAAAAAGCAAAAAGGTTTGGGGCGGAGCTATTTGTGTGTTCAGCCAATCAGAAACATTATCCCAATTGAAATTGGTGATGCTAGTGGCAGATAACACTTAACACACTTTCGCTTTAAAGTACCAAATCTGGTTAATAAAAAAACCAGGACAGCTTGAATCCATGATCTCATTGAGATTAATAATGGTGGTAAAAATAATAAATAAAAAAGAAACACAAAAGATTAGAACTGGGTTAGATGATCTCTCAGTACTTCTGGCCGATTTTCTCTTTCGGAGAGCTTTTTTTCCCCCTGTCTTTCTGTCTCTCTCAGTCTCAGTCATCACATCCCGACAGTGAGGTGACCTCTGACCCCTGTCCTCCCCTTGACCCTGAGCAGGATGACACCACCTCCTCTCCGCCCGCACCTCAGCGGGTGGTTGAGGTGGCCATTCCTAATGTAGGAACCTTTGTCATTCAGTCGAAGGAGGGAGGTTATGATGATGAGGTAGAGTCCCAATAAAAAGAGTTCGGTCATGAGCGTGCAGCCCTAAAACTCCCAGCATCCTTTTCACAACCTGCTCTGACATGCCAAACCCATTTCAGATTAACATTAAATGCAAGTTACTCCCAGTGGACTCCCAAACTACTAACGTTGCCCCCAGTAAAACGTTACAGAAGAGGAAACGGCCTGTTTTGCCTGTCTTTTCTTTCTTTTCCTTCATGAAGCATGTAGCGCAGGCTTCAGATCATTGTGTTATTTATTTTCACTTTAATTTACCGTCTACACAGCTAACTATGGTGTTCATTACTTATTTAAAGAAGCAGAAGACACATTAATCTGCATGACGATCCTGTTTTGAATGTTTAATCATCTTCAATGCTTGACGTCGAATTAGCTTTTCTGTTCTAAGCTAATTCGTTTACTTCGATGGGTTGGCTTGAGTTCGTTCGGTGGTGGCTGAGCTGTGGTGTGATTGGCATGCGGACTGGCCAATGAGAGTTTTGGAGGCGTGGCTGGTGTAGTAATATCCTTCCCTCCTTGGGCAGGCGATGATGACCCCAAACATGCAGGGTGTCATAATGGCCATTGGCAAATCCAGGAGTGTTTATGAAAAGTGTGGGCCTGAAGCAGCATTCTTCAAGGTACATGACCTGCTGCATGCCACACCCCCTGTGCATCTCATTAGCTATTTGACCACACCCCCTCCCTGAGCATCTCATTATCTCTGTGAGCTCACTTTTTACACTGCAGGCTATGGAAAAACCCTCTGCATCCTTTTTTATTATGCTGATAGGGTTCTTTATTTATTATAATTATTCATTATCTACTGTGTGTAGGTTTTGCTGACACCTAAGATTGGATCGATAGCAGCCTCCAGTTCTTTGGTATCAATAGTGATGAAATTAAATTAGTGCTGTCAATATAAAATTCAATGTCAGTTATTCGTATTTATTTATTTATTGTAGGTGATAGGCATTCAGTTCTGTTTAAAGTGAAAAAACTAAATATTAATTTGTAAAATAATTTGTACGTGTTGGTAATTAAATTAAATATTTGTATGTAATGTTTTATATATATAATTCCCACTTTGCTGTTCAGATCAGGTATTGAAACCGTTCAAAAATTACGATCTTGAGGTACCGCAGTAGTTTTTTAGTATTGGTTTACTTTGTCACCATCTGCTGTCAGCTGAATGTAATTGCTGCTGTGTGTTATAAAAGTTTTTTTTTTTTTAACTAGCATTGGTTTTGGGTATCTTTGGCTATGCAGTATTGTGTACTTCACACAACATAGCAAACAAAGTGCTAATTAAAACTTTAAAGACAACTCCATTTAAGACAGCAAGTGGTAAGTGAGAGTTGTGGACAGAGTGTGACTTTTTAAGATTTTATCAAGGGTCTACATAAAAAAAATAGCCTTTCGGCTAATTGTGGCACTTTACAGTCATGTTAACTAAAGGTGGGGTAAGTGATTTCTGGTAGCCAATGTAGATATTTCAAATCACCAAAACAAACACACCCCTACCCCAAAAGGGTCTCGCCCCTATTTTGATAGCTCCGCCCCACACATACGAATGCAACCCAGGCAACGATTATGACACACGAACATATTCAAGCAAAAGCCAGCATATATTTTTTCTGTGAAGCAAAGCAAAACCAACGTTACTCACCTATCGAGAAGAAACAAAGCAACCTCGGCGTCCGATCGCAGGCCTTCCCGCTCCTTGAGTTCTCTCCAGCGCTGGAAAGCTGATCTGTTATTTACATGTGTCCTACTTCTTGCCTTATCGTAAGCCTTCTTTTGTTCCACAGACATTTTCCTCTTTTGTTTTTTATCCGCCATCTCTATCTTTCTGTCATCGCTCGGGTAATGTCCGTCCTGTGCACTGAGCGCGCTCTCGCCCCTATCATGAGTAGACTGACTGCTCCTTACTGCTGATTGGCTACAAGTTTGTTTTGGTACTCGGCCTGACTCTGTTTTCTAAAGCGTTTTTGAAAAAATACATACCCCACCTTTAATGTACATTGCCCCTGTAAATAAATTTAAACTTAATTGTTTCATTGGCAGATCTCAATAGGCCTCTGATTTGTGCCTTCACTTGTTGTCCAGCTGTGTATTTTCACTCTGCACGCAGGCTGTTATTTCTACAACTAAAGAAGTTTTGAGTCACATTCATTACAACCACATGCACCAAATCAGTCATTACTTTTTTGCATCTTCTTGTGTAGATGGAAAGATTCAATTATTTTTTTGCTCATGTGCATTTCTAACTAAACACATCCATCTCTGCATATCTCTAACTCTTTTTATTTCTTTCCAACTGTCTCTCGACTTCTTTCTATCTCTAACAGGCGATGAAAGTAGAGTACACTCGTTTACTGAGGTTCGCTCAGGAGGACACACCCCCCGAGAGGGACTACCGATTGCATCACGTCATTGTTTACTTCATTCACAACCAGGTGCCCAAAAAGATTGTGGAGAGAACTCTGCTCATGCAGTTTGCCGACAGAAACCTTGGCTTTGATGAGAGGTATGAGTCATATGAATCTTAATAAAATCACTGCTTTGTAGTCTGTTTTTTTTATTTACTGTATTCTATTAATATTTCATTTCATTTTTTTTTCATTAAGTTTTTACTTGATTCTACATCAGATCATAAGGATTTTATACACTCAAAACAAAACTACAGTTTTCATTTTTTGTAGTTATTTGAAGACACACTTGTATGAATGTCATTATATAATATTATGCTCAGTTGCATTCATTTTACAGGATTCCCATCATAGAAAGCCTGAAAATATTAGGCAATTTTAAAATGGAGATTTCTAGGCCTGTAAAATTGAATGGAAATTAATAAATTCACATTAATTAGGAAAAAAAATCATGACTTGAGATTTTTTTCTAGTTATGCTCCACTCTCTTCTCACATCTTCAAAAATCATGAAATTCAATGGTCAAAAGCTGTGGGAACCTTGATTTTTATTTTTTTTTACAAACATTTATTAATATTTTTTGTTAAAAAAAATCTTTGTGTCCAAATACTTAAAACCACTGTATTTATTTAACAAGCTTTCTAACAAGTTTGGCTCTGAAATTAACTTTAACTTCACTTATGAATGGCGATTGTATTATACAGTTAGTTGAGCCTCAAATTGACAAATATAAAAGACAAGCATATAGACACACACAATGCTGTAGCTTGACAGGACCGCCTCACTGATAACTGATTGATTTTAGAAGAAGTGACTCCTCTTCCAAAGGCCAGTTCCGTCTCGAGCCTCCCAGACTGACACGGACAGTAATTATCAGCTCGGCACAGCAGTCGCTGCTGTTTCTGATCATTGTGTTACCAAACAGCTTCCTGTCTGTGCGCCCAAAAGGCCTTTGTCTCGCTACGCAGTCTCGAGTGCCTCCAGAGCAGACTGCACGCTCCGGTGAAGAATGTGATCCATATTCATAAGCAAATTGATTTCTTTCTCCTCTATTTTGAGCGAAGTAATTAGATTGATGTGCGCGCTGCACCAGATGCGACGCTCTCTTTCCATTTTGTTTTGGGTAATAAAGTATGATTCATGGCCAGAGAACGCAGCTCATTCCTGAGAGCATCTCATGAGTCACGCCTGAGCTCTAATGTGGCGGCCCTGTTCTTCCCTGCAGATGTAAGAGCATCATGAAGGTGGCACATGCTAAACTGGAGCTCATTAAGCCTGACGAGGTGAACATGGAGGAATACGAGGTGAGTGAAGTGTTTCTGACTTAGGTTTGGCTGCTGTTTGAAATTGAATTGTGAATGATAAGTCAGTTTCTGAATTAAATTGAACTGAGGTTGGAAACAGGATGCAGAATCCTCATTTGAATTATGTACCGGTATATTTGGGTTTTGTTGCAAATACAAAAGCGTTTGAGTATGTTGATTTTCTTTAAAATTGCAGTTTATGAATTCATCTTCCTGTTGTTACAATTAATTGTTGTCAAGCGATTAATCGTTTGACAGCACTAATATATATATACCTATCCAAAAGGTATATAATCAGTATTGCCACCTTTTGCAGGAGATTGTATTTCTTTCAGCACCCAAAAACTTAAGCAATGACCTAGATTTCCTAAAATGCGGTACAACAGGGTTGGTGAAATCATGCAGTGTTGTGGATAAGGATAAGTTTGCATGTTCTCACTAAAATGATCTTATGCTACTTCTTCTGGCACAGATGTGTCATCAGGATTACAGGAAATTCCGTGACACGACAGTGTTTCTATTGATCGGCCTGGAATTATTCTTAAAGAAAAGGTGAAGCTTTTGTCTTTTAATTCTTGAATTTTCTTTTCATTTAAAATGGACATTCTGTCGATCGAAACAGATGAAATGCAAGAAACAGGCCTTACCAGAATCCTTTTCTGTGATATCACCACTAGATGGCAGCATATTCTGCTTTATCAACTCAACACAGAACTAAAAACTAAAAGTTGCCACAGTCAAGAAACATATATCTTGTAGCCTTTTACTAATTTCCTTATGCTTTATTAGGATTGCATGTGTATATATATATATACAGTATATACACACATACATACCAGTATATATATATATATATATAAATATATAAATTAAAAACCCATATTATTATGCTTTTTATATTTATTTTATTGCAGTTACGTGGAATCATTGATGTACCTGATCTACGCCTATCAATACAACAAAGAGCTCCTGGCAAAAGGGCCGTACAGAGGCCACGATGAGGAGCTGATCGCACATTACCGCAGAGAGTGCCTGCTAGTAAGTAAATCAACCACCTCCTCTTAACTCGGATCTACGACCAGCTCAAACTGTGCTCCTAACAGCTCTCAGATCAGTATTATTTGTGCCAATGCACACGCTTTCCTGTAAACATTGTTTCTAACACCAGTGACTGGAACAAATCTGGTTAGAATTTCAGTACAGAGTGCATTAAGGGCAATAGTTTGCATATATGTGGTTTTGCAAATACAATTTGAATAAACATTTTATCTGTCAAGTCCAAAATGCCTTTTTCATTTCCTGTCAAAGTTTTGCTTGGGGGGGGGGGGGGATCTTGGATAGATTTGACATTTTTCATACTTTTATGGCATTTGGATTCACTTAATTTAAAAGCTGAAACTTGAAGCTTCTAGTTGTTGCTGTTGGAAATCAACTGTAATAAACATTTGCTTTGACTTTACAATTCACTGCCGTTCTCCCCATCTATGTACCCAGTGACCCCCACACAGCCATTGTGCTCATAATATTATCATCAGTCCTGGAATAGGAAGCGTACTGGGCTCAGTGCGTAAACACATTAGCGGGAAGCACGTCGTTGTCCTTGTTTCACCTTTTGCAAGCGCTGCAGAGGCCTTAACTTCATCTCAAGCTGTGCTGTTTACCCTCTGCTCACTTTAATTGAAAATACTGCTAACATTGACATAGCTTATGTGCTGCAATGTTTTTTTCTTTTTCGCATTCTAGCTAGTTGCTCATTCCAGTTGAGTGGTGAAAGGGGTTAGAGAGTTTACCTGCCGCATTCAAAGTTTGAAAGTGTTTAATTGCATAGCAAAGAACATCAGCTTTTTGCGTCAATAAAAAACGTTCTCGGATGTGGAGGATGTTTCTATGTATTGATATTTGTGGGCTCTTTTTTTTGTGTGTCTCGCAGAAGGTGAACGAACACGCGGCTGCCCTCTTTGAGACAGGCGAGGAGACTGAAGTGAACACTGGTCTGAGCATCATGAATGAGCTGGTGGTGGCGTGTATTCCACTGCTGCTGGTGGATGAGATGGAGGAGAAAGACATGGTGGCTGTCGAAGACATGAGGAACCGATGGTGTTCATACCTGGGCCAGGAAATGGAGCGTAAGTCTTAGGGGTGGGAATTTTAATTTTATTCACGGGGCCACAATCAGCTCGATTTAGAAATCAAATTCGGTATTAAAGCTTAGTACAAAAATAACAATTCTGAAAGTTTTCTGGATAATAGTGTTCAATGTGAGTTTCAATTATTTTTCTAACCTTATATGTATGTGTCATCTATTACTGTATGTCAAATTCTTATATTTAATCAGTAAATACAATTAGAGTAATAAGAGACTATAGGGCTGTTACCAATCAAATTAAACCAGTATCAAATAAGCCACATTTGACGCGGAAATTGCATCTGAAGTGGCATTTAGATTTATTTGCACAGACTTTAATGCACCTCAAATGTGGGATAAATGCATTTACACTGCACTTGCAATTGCATAAATAATACTATAAGATTGTTTTAAAAAAGTTTTTTTTTTTTTTTTTTTTTTTAATAAAATGTAATGATTTTAAAAATGAAATTCTTTGTGAATCTAAAATTGACAGTAGGTGGTGGCAAGTATTAATGAGTAAGTCATTGAATAATTCATTCAAACAATTCATTCAAAACAGCAGATTCATTAAACAAATTCTGCATTTATGCCATGTCATAATTACTATAATTTCAAGCTGACAGCATGTGACGTTCTACTTGGAACTGTTCACATCCTTGGACTCGGAACTATGGCACTATCAATGCCTAAACATGGCGCCTAATGAATCTGACATGGTCAGGTGGTACAAGTTGTAGCTCTCAGAAAGTTCCCAGTTCTCAAGTTGTAATTACGAGTTCTATGAGGACGTGTACGCATTTTACAAGTTGGTATCTCGTAATCACGGTAATTACGATATGACGTGAATGTACATAAAGCAAGTAACTGGCTGCATCTGAAATCGCATACTTCCTTACTATATAGTAGGCAAAAAACAGAATGTGAAAGAGAAGTATGCCAGAATTATGCCACAGTATTCATAGAAGAGTAGGCAACCCACCTACCCAGATTACTTACGTCTTCCACCGAGATTCAATAGTGCACATTCAATGGACACTTTACTATCCCATGAGGCCATGGGAGAGGATTTTGTGAATGGCAGTGAAGCAGCAACTGACTCTAATAGGTCACATGACATTGACAACATGAGGAATGTAGTGCATTCATACTATATAGCACTTTCTTTTAAAGAAATTATTTATTCAAAAGAAGTACCTACTGAGAGAGTATGCATTTCGGATGCAGCCACTGTTTTTATGAATAAATCATTGAATCACTCAAACAAATCCTTTACAGATTTATTCAGGAATGAAATACTGTTCCGTGTTGCAATGGTTCTGATGTGGCTTTATTTTGAACTATTTTCTTTGTCATTGAAAATATTTTCTAAGAGACTACATCATGTTTTTGTGAGTGAGTGTATTCTCTGAACTTTCCGGGTGCTGCACTACTCTTGCAAATGACTTCCACCTTCTTTGTCAACCGCTTTCTAATTAATAGATAATTGTTCCATCTCAAAATTGTCTTTTTCTTCTCCAGCTAATCTCCAGGAGAAGCTGACTGACTTCCTGCCCAAGCTGCTCGACTGCTCAACCGAGATCAAAAGCTTTCATGACCCTCCCAAACTACCTTCATACTCCACGCTGGAGCTGTGCGAGCGTTACGGCCGGGTCATGATGTCACTCACCCTGAGTCGAACCCCTGCAGACGGCAGATGAGCTGTGCAGACTTCATCTCCCCTCAACTAACACATGCCTTCCTTAAAGCAGGGCTTTCCCAAACCTACCAACCTTTCCTTTCTCTTTTGCTGCTAGAGATTTTACCTTATCCTTATCGGTATTATTAATATTATTTTGAGGATTCTGTTATATTTTAAAACTAATGCAACAGTAAGAATGGTGTGAAACTGAGCAGAGACGAAGAAGAAGCATTAGACGGATAGTTCACTCAAAAATAAAATTTTAGACATCGTTTGTTTACTTCATGTTGTTCCAAACCCATATGAAAAGGAGATGTCTAGCAGAATGTTCAAGCTGCTGGGACCAGGGACAGCTGTGGTTGGAAAGAAGAAAGTTATATGGACTCTAAAATACTTGAGGGTAAAGAAATGAGGCTGAATTTTCATTTTCAAGTGAACTATCCCTTCAAAGCAAAGAATGGTATCATGTTTGGTGTTTTAGACATTGGCGCATGCAGCTTTAGGTTTGTGAAACGAGGTTGAGGATTCATTTCAATATTTTGTTTTATTTTAGTTTTATTTTCCCTCATCTTCCCTTTTCACATGAGAAGCGGGTCAACCTGCCGCGCCACCCTCAGTTACAGTGTTACTGCATTGTTTTGTTTTGTTTTTTCTAAGGATGGTGAGTCAAAAAGCTGGAGGCTCTCGGATGGGTCTGCGGACCTGACGACTGGGACTTTAACACAAGTTTTAAGTGCTGTGGTTGGCAGCCATGGGACATACTGTGGCTGTTAATACATTGAGAGAATAAAGTTTTATTTATGGCTCTTTTAGGCCAGATACATATTTTTTTAAATGTTCCTCCTAATCTTTATTGAACTTCGCATTGAATGAAACTGTGCTGTGCTACTTTGGGTATCTCAAAGAGAACGGAGTATGTTTTCCCCATGGACTTGGATAGATTTGACTGCATCTGAATCCTTTTTAGACTCTTCCTGAGTTTGGTTTTCCATAAAAAGTTTCGTTATTGAGTAAAAAGGCACAAACACTACTGCTTTCCCAAAGAATACTGATAACACAGTACTATACTGAATCTGTCTTTCACAGTCCATCGCTGTGCATTCATAGTACAATGTGCCGAGTGAACTTGCATTGTTGCATTGCTAGCTTCAAAGGGGATTTGATGCCAAGCATCAACTAGAACTGAAAGTTTAGCATTCACACTGGTGGAAAATTCCTGAATGGACGCACTCAGCATTACCATTGTACATACACCCTTATTTGTGTCAAAAAGTGTTTTTTTTTTTTTTTTTTTAATCTATCAGAGCAGCTTGTTCAGCACGTATGACTTTAAAGGCTATTAAACAAAGCTGACACAAATAAACAAACCAAAACCCACTGTAAATGCATGATTCTCTCTGATTTAATGCACCAAGTGCGTGACTTGGGGGAGGGGTGTATGACCGTAGCCACGCCTTCCTCACTTTTGACCACACCCACACTTATTATACTGCTGTAAATTCCTGTTTGATGCAGTTTTTATCTTTTGTAGGTCTTCTGGTCATCATGGTGCAATACATTTGAGCAATTCTAAGAAGCCATCTTTAAAAACTGCAAGCAGGCATGTGCTTTCTAGGAACAGTTTTATTGTATTAGATTTCTGCCAGAGCTGTGCACCCAATGACCCACTTTAGAGAGAAATAAGGTCACTGATGGCTAGATGCAGAGCAGTCACTTTATCACAAGATTAACCAAAGACTTGTTTGCTAAACGGAGAGGAATGAATGGAATGACTGAAGGCAGTAAATACAATTTCTTCTGTGTGGATTAACTGCACACATTAATCTATTACCCAGATCCAGCCTAAAAACCTCATTACTGTAGGTGTGCATTAACTGAAGGGAAGACTAAATGTGTTAAGAGCAAGTTGCATTCATTTTTTAAAAATTAGTATTTGACCATGCTTTATTCAGGTAAAAACTACAATCAATAACAATAAAAAAATACATTAAATACTGTGTGAGGTTCGTATAGATTTAAGTGATAGACGCTGCGCGTGAGGTCAGTTTGGCGCGAAACGGTGTAATAATCCGCGCCTAGTGATTTGACACAGCTGAATTCGCAACAGTCTTACATTCTCTAATTTTAACGACATTTGTTATTTTCTTGCAACAAAAAGCGGTCATTTCTCTTTTCTGGATAATATTTAGGCCAAATGAGGGACATTTCTGCCCTGACACGAAGGCTACATGAAGATTTTTAGGAAGGTAATGAGTGACTTGTTTCGTTTCTTTACTTCAGCTCAAACTAAACATCCTAACTGACAACTGAAATACCGAACTCAATCATAACATTCACAAAAATGAATATATATCACAAATAATGTTATCATCTCAAGTTTGGATGCTGACGGCACTTGAAGAATCAGGAAAAGATTCATATGACACTCAGAGGAAGCTGGTTAGTTTGGGGCTAAATTTGGGTTTGTAGCTATTTATAAACGTAACGTTAGCCTATTTAAATATTTTAGATATGGTGTACTGGTAACAGAATTGAATTTGTTTAATTTGATATACATTTGTGTTTAAAAAAACAGAAAAGTTATGAGAAATCTTCCTCAAGAGTTGTGGACTTAAAAAAACTTTTAAAGCTTACGTTTAATAAGACATGACTATATGAATGTACATTAATTCAAAAAATTTGAAACATTATATAATGTAATAATGTTTCTTAATAACATTGTTTCAACCATACAATAATTCATAAATTGATGTTTTCCCACCTTACAAGTTTTGCAGTTTTCCTTATTGCCTTTTTAGGGATATATTAATCCAGGGCATCCGTATTCCCCCAGTATTCATCATGGTCGACCAATATGGGTTCAATAGCTAATTCTTCAATTATTACATTTGTTCCCTCCTGATCCTGAATATGTGCATTCAGCCTTGGATTACTCCTCAGTATGAATTTCCTGCAGAGCGGCTTTACTGGGACCATCTTAATCTGTGAAGGGATTTATCTGCTTATGTGTCATTATCTAACCACGTCCAGACAACCGGAACTGTTGCTTACCTTGTAATTGAGTTTTTGTCCTCTCGTCTTTCTTCTTCACTTCAATGAATCATTGCTTTCTGATGCCTTCGGGGGCTTTTTTTTTGTATTAGTTTGTTATCAAAAGGTCAGGCGGTGTATCTGTTAAACATGACTTGTCCCAACTGTTGACTGTCACACTCCGCTGATAACAGCCTGCCCGTTTCCATGGAGATATTTCATTGTCTGACTGTCTAGACGCCCGGTGACACCCGACACTTCGGGCCCGGGGGTCGCGGATTGGCCGTGCGAGTCAAAAATCGAAGGCTCAGCTGCCCTCTGCATCTGCTGTGGGTCCACAGAGACGTTAGCAAATGCATCGCAAAATGCAAGGGCCTGTTTAAATCACTGCTTCTTTTAATAATGTGAGGCCATTTGTCATCATTTTACTGAATGGCATGTAGGGTTGGGCATTGTTTGAATTTGATCAATTCCGATTCTGCTTATTGATTCCGATCCTTATCGATTCCCAGTTTCGATTCCAGTGTGGTTAAAAAAAGGAAGTTAAACATTTAGATATCAAACATATTTATTCTGTGTCTCTTTTTGCAAAACGTTTAATTGCTGCTGAATACCATGAACAAAAATCAGCCGGCTGCATAAAAAATACTTGATTAAGAGCTGTTTGTGTGCTAAATAAAGCTGCACGATTCTGGATACATTTTTTATAATTTTTTATTTTTACATTTTTCTTTTTAATCGAGGTTGTTCTGCAGAAATTCTTAATTCTGAAGAAAAAACAGACAACTAAAAATCTCATGGAATTTATGAATGGAATGATTCAATGACTCACTCAAGATTTACCTGTTTCATTACTGGATGAATCAGTTTTTTAAAAATGAATCTCTTGAATGAATGATTCAAAGACGCATACATTTTTAACAGCCACTTTTACAGATTTTCCCTGTCTATGGTACAGGAAATTACTGTTAACCTATTAATATTTTACAGTTAAAATTACACATTTTTTACAGTGTGAGTTTTTAAGCTTAAGTTTTTCATTTAATATTTATATTTTAGATTATTTCAGCTTTGTTTCAGATTTATTAAAGTTTTCTGAAGTCATGTTATAGTTTTGTATGATGAACAGACTGACACCAAAGTCTTTATTCACTGAAAATCTTCCTCTGTGCTGCAGCTCTCAAATCAGTAATATTTAATCTCATTGATGACCAACCTGATCTGCATTTCACTTTATTTAGCTTTTTTTTTCTCTCATCACATTGAGATATCATAAGACTTTGAGTTATTTTATGGTGTTTTCTGTACTATTTTGAGCTGGTCATTATGAACTGTTGTTGTAGAGCTGCATAAGAATAATTTAAAAATAGATTTTCTTTTTCTACAGAAAATAATAACATATGGGTTTGGAACAACATGACAATTGAGTAAATTACAAAAAAATTGACTGCTGCAGGGAACTGGAAGTTCGCATCACCTTGGTTCCCTTTAATAGGATTTTCCATTGGCTTTAGATTATTACAGAAAATAAGCTCTTTGACCAAGAAAATGAATGATACTTAGCCTAAACATTTTGTTCATCAGGGTAAAATCATTGCAGCATTATCAAATTTGTAGACTAAATGCAATTGTCATAAGCTAGGCTATAAACAAACTTCAACAAGTTCACACAATTTCATCACCACTGCTTAGCCTCTGACAAATCTTTCAGTCAGAAAGTTTGAGTTAGAATACTTTGTAAAAGCGTGAGTGTGAACACAACAAGGCTTTAAAAGTGGACTAGTAAGTAGAATAGTTTTCCTGTTTGGTGTGATGACGTTTATTTTTTGTGACAGCCTCTGTAGTCCCATTTAGCCATTTGTTAGTGGGGTATTACTGATTTATTTTATGTCATAAAGTGTGAAAATATCTTGAGCTTGTGTCAACCAAAGACCTTATTGCAGGCATTTAATAAAAAAATCCATTCAAAAACTCACTGAATTTGAGACAATGGAACCGGAAGTTCACAAATATTAACTCAATTCCAGTTTTTGTAACCATTCCTACCTTCTATTTATTAATAATTAAACAATTGATCTTGGTTTTCATCTTTAATTTGAATTTAATCAACTCTCAGTCTTTCTCAGCATGCTGTTTTTTGTGAGATGCCATAGGTGCAATGCAAACCCCAGTTGTCTTATTTTGCTCCATTTCTGTAAATCTGTTTTGTCATTAAAAATTCTGCTTAGGTAGAATCCTTAAGATTTGCTGAATGATCTGACTCTGAATCAGCAGTTAAAATGAGAACTGAACAAATATGGCCGCTCTATTGTCTTTTTTGCTGTGTCGAGTCCCCTGTGATTGGCCGGTTGGCACAGCACACTGTGTTTGATTTACTGTGTATGTTCTGTTACAGTATTATTTTATTCAGAATGATCTTCTCCGACGAAATTCAGGACCAGGACTGGATACAGAGCGTAACCGGCTGCAAAAATATCCCCGGTCCCTTGAGGCAGCCAGAGGCCGTTCTCTGAGAACCCAGCTAGAGAGGACATTCTGTTCAAAGCTATTCAATGGAGATATTTTTTGTTCGAGAGATTTTTTTCCATTCTTGAACTGAATATCAATCAACGGTCGCTTCTTTAGTGTGCTAAAGCTCGGGGGGAAAAACACGCCACCTCCAGACAAAAATAAATAAATAATAAAATCACAAAAGAGTGAGAGAGAGAGAAATGAGTTGAAATTGCCAGCCATCCGTTCCTTCGCGTTTAATGATGCTCTCTCCGAGCGGCTGGCGTCTGGTTGTCAGAGACCATGATTTTTTATCACAAACACTGCAGCTCAGCGGGGTGTGCGGTTATAGCGAGATGGGTCGGGATGGGGGCAGTCAGGTTGAGAGAGTTAGGGGGGCTCGGGGTGGTTTTGGGACCCTCTCAAGGTGCCTCATCCATGGAAACGCAGCTGGCTGAACAAGATTCCCATCAGTCGACAAATAAGAGACAAGCTGGGCTCTGTCTCCACACGGTCCGCACTGTTACCAGGAGCCGGCAGCCAATCGCGTCCCCCCAGTGGCCTATTTTGACAAATGGGCCTTTTCTGCGACCAATCACAAGTGAGCAGCCTTGTGACATCATACGATAATGAATTAGACTCATCGTAAAGCTTTTTTTTCTAAGGCCGGTTGGCTCTCCAAATGAGTGATTCTGCCTCAGGAGTCGGAGCGGCGTCGCAGATGGAAGGCCATCTCTCTTCACTGTCTTTGTCCTGGTTACGGGATTGCACGGTTGGGGCCTTTTGATCGGTCCCCATGTTTCCCAGCTCTGCATTTGGTTTTATTGTGCATTAGTGCTGACCCTGACCAATCACTTTCAATCACCATAATTCTCTGATTACAGGAAATATGCAATGAGATGGATGAATAGCTCTTAGGGCATTTCAACCCTGGACAGGTTCCAGAGTTTCACTTACCTCTGACGTGCCGTCAATCTCTCTTTCTCTCTGTATCCCTCTCTTTTTCAAATGGCAATCAATCCTTACCAAATGACACTAGATAATTTAGAGACACACTTTTAGATATATTTGTCCATTTTGAGAATATTGGCATCATTGATATCCATGCCTGTTTGACAGCTTAACAAAAGTGGTAGTTTCCCCTTGAGTTGGTTTCAAATATTGGTGTCAAATTTTTTAAGTACTACCTAGAGTAAATATTATTATATCAGGCACACTGCTCTCTAAATATAGAGCATTGGTCATTGAAAAACTTACATTGGTTGACCACTACCAAATGGCCTAGTTTGTAAATAAATCTTGGCTTGAATCTTGCTTAAGCTGTAAGTTAAAAATCATAGTAAATTTGTCTAGGGATCTTGACAAAACTTCTGGTTTGACTGAATGACTTTTTAGTCTAGAAACTGGTATGAAGGTGTACGACAAAGGATAAAGGGGTTATCTTTTGTCACAATTTCCCATTTTTAAACATAAAATCTGCTGGAAGAAAGTTCGTCCATGCTAGGCATTCAAGTTAATTTAGAATGTTAGTTCTGGTTGAATTAGTTGAATGAACATACAAATTTTTGCTTTTCATTGTTTTGTTTTTTTGCTTCTTTTTGCATCTCAATAGATAAACTTGTGTAGTTTCACATTTGGCTTTGGGTATTTTATTATTATTTTTATTTTAAATATTTTGTGAAGTGTTTGGATGGCATGTCAGTCACCAGAGCTGTTACTTGTGTGTTATCACCTGTCAGTTAGTGAGAGTTACATCAGGGTTTCAGACCGCTGCCCTAGAGACTGCAGTCTGAGTAACCCATGTTCCTATTCCTCCATCAAATGCAGCAGAAATTAAATCTGGTTCTCAATATTCTACAGATGGTTTGAAATTAATGTATCTAGTCTTGTAGTCCAGACGAGTGTAACTTGAAAATATATACAAGTTGCTTATCTTAGTTGGTCCTTAAATATAGTTTATTTAGGTCTGTTTTATGTTCATTTTTGGTACATATGGTTTTGTATTTAAAATTATACTGTGGTTTAAGGAGTCTGATTTGTTTGTTGGCTTTAGATTGTGTTGATTCAGACCTTTTTTGCCTCCATAAGAAAATGTAATTGTCTCCAAGCTGACCATGTATAGGTAAAGGTTTAAAGTCATTTAAAATATTTATAATACGATATTTGGTATTAAAATTGCCTTTATTTACATCACTCTTTTAAGTTACTCCAAATGTTTAAAATGAGTTCAAATGCCAGTTTGAATTAGTCACACTGTCAAGTATTAATCTGACATTAACAATTTTTTTGGGCTGCAGGCACTTGAAATGGTGACGTGATTGAAAAGACCCACAGCCTCATTAAACATGATTTGAATTCTCCACATTCTCCACTCGCCTCTCTTCAAGTGACCCAGCCAGCACAGCAGCTGATATCTGGAGTTTAACAGCCTCCGGAGAAGGTGACAAAAAAAAAAACACTGAACACATTTCCTCCACTGTTACATTTTTACTAGTTCTGCTATTTACATAGTTAACATGAAATGGCAGCCCATCTTACTTCGTAATGTGTTGTGAAACGGGAAAAAGTGTAGGGCAGAATTTTTATCCACTGGAAAATTGATTGTTTTTTGGAAGATTTCTGTGGCTGTGTTCAGAATCAACTGCTAGCAAACTGAATACAACACGGTATATACTACATGCAGCCTACATTTTTTTTAAATAGTTAATAAAACAGTAAGCATAATTCCTCTTTTCAAACAGGGGTATGGTACAATGTAAGTGTTCGGTAGCTCAGACAGTAAAGACTAGGGTCATGGTTCAGTACTAAGGGAATGCACTCACTTTTGAAATGTGTACCTTAAATGCAATAAAAGTTGGTTTTGGATAAAAGTGTCTGCCAAGTGCAAAAATCTAAAGTGCATGCATAAATCGGCAAGTGGCGAGGTATCATCTTCGCAAATAAAAATGTGTGTGTGTATATATATATATATATATATTGCATTTCTCAATCAATTTGGTGTTAAAAATGCCCCGCCTTTTGACAGTGTATTAATAAAATAATGTCAAGAAAGAGTTTAAAATCAAAACTAATATTACTTGCACTCTGCATCCATCACTTTGGGATACAATATTGAGGGATACAATATTCTGTCTTGTATGCTGCAAATTTTCTGTGGATAAAGAACATTTAAACACTGTGTGATAGTAAGCAATAGTAGGAGTAGTATGGTAGTATGCTATTCTGATGGGTGGTTGGGGGTGGAGTTAAAAAATAAGAGGGCTTGATGATGTCAGCTGAAAAGGAAAGTCATTTCAGACGTGGAGCAAGTTGCTTTGCCAATTGATTAGGATGACACTCTTTCACAAAAAGAATGTATTAAGAAAGTAAATAAGAGTAAAATAAGTAAAAAACATTTTTTTAGATGTTATCAAAGAAGAGTAAATCAAATTCTTATAATACAGAACTCTCTTGAAGGTTGATATTAATATACTAATGAAAAGTTACAAATCTCAAATGATTGTCTCTCTTCTCTTGTTTCAGCAGTGCTGTACTTTCTCTAGACACACGTCTGTTTAGCGGTTACACCTGCTTAAGCACACACACACACACACACACACACACACACACACACACACACACACACAGGCTCTCTTACATGCACTTGCCATCTCTGACCCGCAGGTCATGCTGAAGTGACTTTGTGCCCCATTTATACCTGGGCCTCTTTGAAAGCAGGCCTCGCATTCCTGCTCCGTCGGACGGGGGATATCCTGCTTATTGCCAGCGAGTAGGAAGTTTCTGCCGTTAGGGATTATGTGCCGTTTCCTCGCCTAGAAGCTTTCGGCTTGTCCCCTCCCACTCTTGAAAAAGCAGCGACTCCACAAACTAGAAAACGGTGCGAACTAAATACCTGCCTCTCTGACCACCAGCCTCAGCCTTTCAGCCCTGCTCGTCTGCGCTTGTGCGATTGCTGGGAGGAGGCAGCCGCGTTCCGTCCGCTTTTGTGTGGTTGTACAGAAGTGCTGCGGTTGGGAGGAGGAGGAGGAGGTGGAGGGGAACAGCTGCTCCCCACACAGAAGCCGGTTTCCCAGCCTGAGAGGCAGCCAGTGCCGGGGCTGTTTTCCCGGGGGCCCTCGGGTTGGTTCGCCAGCTCCGCAGCTCTGGCTTGAAGGGAGATTTTTATGGCGGCGGCAAAACACAAAATTGACCAGAACAAGTAGGATTCTTTCCTTCACAAGGCCAGGCACTCGTGTTCTTTGTGAGTACTCTGCCTTTTTAAAACATTTTTGCTAAAGTTGCATGGACACAAAGGATCATACAGTCCTCGTTGTCCTTTTTGTGTTGTTTTGTTTGGCTTCATTTGGTGTTAAAAATGCCCCGCCTTTTGACAGTGTATTAATAAAATAATGTCAAGAAAGAGTTTAAAATCAAAACTAATATTACTTGCACTCTGCATCCATCACTTTGGGATACAATATTGAGGGATACAATATTCTGTCTTGTATGCTGCAAATTTTCTGTGGATAAAGAACATTTAAACACTGTGTGATAGTAAGCAATAGTAGGAGTAGTATGGTAGTATGCTATTCTGATGGGTGGTTGGGGGTGGAGTTAAAAAATAAGAGGGCTTGATGATGTCAGCTGAAAAGGAAAGTCATTTCAGACGTGGAGCAAGTTGCTTTGCCAATTGATTAGGATGACACTCTTTCACAAAAAGAATGTATTAAGAAAGTAAATAAGAGTAAAATAAGTAAAAAACATTTTTTTAGATGTTATCAAAGAAGAGTAAATCAAATTCTTATAATACAGAACTCTCTTGAAGGTTGATATTAATATACTAATGAAAAGTTACAAATCTCAAATGATTGTCTCTCTTCTCTTGTTTCAGCAGTGCTGTACTTTCTCTAGACACACGTCTGTTTAGCGGTTACACCTGCTTAAGCACACACACACACACACACACACACACACACACACACACACACACACACAGGCTCTCTTACATGCACTTGCCATCTCTGACCCGCAGGTCATGCTGAAGTGACTTTGTGCCCCATTTATACCTGGGCCTCTTTGAAAGCAGGCCTCGCATTCCTGCTCCGTCGGACGGGGGATATCCTGCACACACACACACACACACACACACACACACACACACAGGCTCTCTTACATGCACTTGCCATCTCTGACCCGCAGGTCATGCTGAAGTGACTTTGTGCCCCATTTATACCTGGGCCTCTTTGAAAGCAGGCCTCGCATTCCTGCTCCGTCGGACGGGGGATATCCTGCTTATTGCCAGCGAGTAGGAAGTTTCTGCCGTTAGGGATTATGTGCCGTTTCCTCGCCTAGAAGCTTTCGGCTTGTCCCCTCCCACTCTTGAAAAAGCAGCGACTCCACAAACTAGAAAACGGTGCGAACTAAATACCTGCCTCTCTGACCACCAGCCTCAGCCTTTCAGCCCTGCTCGTCTGCGCTTGTGCGATTGCTGGGAGGAGGCAGCCGCGTTCCGTCCGCTTTTGTGTGGTTGTACAGAAGTGCTGCGGTTGGGAGGAGGAGGAGGAGGTGGAGGGGAACAGCTGCTCCCCACACAGAAGCCGGTTTCCCAGCCTGAGAGGCAGCCAGTGCCGGGGCTGTTTTCCCGGGGGCCCTCGGGTTGGTTCGCCAGCTCCGCAGCTCTGGCTTGAAGGGAGATTTTTATGGCGGCGGCAAAACACAAAATTGACCAGAACAAGTAGGATTCTTTCCTTCACAAGGCCAGGCACTCGTGTTCTTTGTGAGTACTCTGCCTTTTTAAAACATTTTTGCTAAAGTTGCATGGACACAAAGGATCATACAGTCCTCGTTGTCCTTTTTGTGTTGTTTTGTTTGGCTTCTCTCTGCCTCTCTAAACCATCAAGAACTCAGTTTCCTGTGAGAAACAACTCGGGCAGTTTATCACTCGCGTTGAGTTGCAGGTTTCGTGAAAAGGGAGCTTTGTGCTTTTGAATTACAGCTAGGCTAAAGGGTCATGGCCAGAGGCATCGGTGCTGTGTGTATATGTGCAAACCAAATACGGACTGCGATCTGATAAAGAACGTTTTATGAATGTTTGTGAATCCTCTGGGATTGCTTTTGGAAGTTGTGGGACACGACAGCATGCTTTGAACTTGGCAGAGAGTGAGAAACTTTGCGTAAACTGTTGGAAGGACTGTACAGAGACTCGCTCGCACTGTTACACACTCATGGCTGCCGGGTTTTGAATCAGTGTTGCTTTAATATAGTATTTAAGGAAATATCTGAACTTATTCTTTTTTTTTTTTTTTTGCCAGAATACTTTTTAAGCGAGTAGCATTAACCTTAAAGAAATTAAATATATTTTTATTTAAATATATATGGTATCTAAATCATGTATTGAGGATCTTTTGTTAACCTTTACAAGCTATGATTTCATTGAGAGGCTGATTAATATGCAATATTTAGCTCAAGTGAACAATTTGAGTTACTATTTCTCAAAGTTTAGTGTCAAGTTGGTTAATTTATTCAGGAACAATAGATCATAACTACTTGTGTTGTAATATACAATACATATTTGTAGTAAATAGTTGCTGAGGCAAAACTATAATTTGAGGCATTTTTAAGTCTAATTGTCATTTCTTAGTCCAACTATATTTATTGTGTCAAAAAGCATTTTTTGTTTGGATTTCATCAGTCTAATGTTTTCCATTATTCATGTGATTTGGTTTTTAGACAGCCTGTCTGTCTGATGCTGTGGCACTTCACCTGTTCTTCCAGAGCCTGAGTCCTGTAAAATGTATTTTTTCTTTAGGAGAAGCCTTGCTTCACCTTTTTCTGTTGCCCCCTCAGATGACCTTGTTGTCACAGGAATGAGATGTTTGGACAGGCATTAACGTGTGGCTTTCTCTTCTAGAGTGCTGTTTCAAAGCACGGCCAGAGGCATGAAAAAGAGGGAATGTGCGAAAAGAAAAAAGGCGAAGTGCAAAAAGGCAAAGGAGTCGAGTAGTTTTAGCTTAGCTTTCGGTTTCCAGGCCATTTTTTGTGTAAGGTGGGATATCGCAGTTTAGTTGTCAACATAGCACAGAGAAAGAGAGAGAGAGAGAGCGAGTGAGCGAGGGGCCACCGCTGAATCTAGTTCTCTATTTTAGGTATGTAGGTCACTATCCTCTGAAGTAGCAGATCTGCACACCTTCTTAATGAGGGCTTCTGAAGTCTTTGTGGCAGATGGTTTATTTTTGGCTCTTTGCTGTTCTATATTAAAGTTTCTTCAGGGCACATCAAGTTGATGGCCAGGCTTTTAAAAAACACAGATCTTGTCTCTGATCTCCTCTCCAGTCCTCAGTTTAGACCAATGTTTCATCTAATTTGAGGTTCATGATGAGGAAAACCTATTTCTATTGGGCGAACCCATCAGTCACCTGAGAAGAAACACTTCTGAAACACTGTACTAGAACTGTACAGTAACTACAAACCTAGGAAAATGCATAAATTATATAATATTATATAAGAAAAAAGAAAAAATAGGCTTTCTCTGTCATTCTGTATTTGCACACACAATTTCTAATTACTATATATTTCATCTATAGTTACCACATTATTTTTGAACTATATTTTAGGAAACATTTATATGATTAGATGAGATACATTTTCTCATCTAGCATGACATAATTGAAGCTCCATGCGAAATAATTAGAAATTTTAGTTGGCATATAGCATATCACAACCTAGGAAATGTCAGTTTTCCTCTCAGTTTGTGTGTTTTATATCTATATTTTTATATAGGCTAACTATGGCAGGATTATATTGTTTTTTGATATAGATATAAATTGGTGATACTGTATATAGGCTTAACTGTTTTCAACTTCTGAGTTGAGTGGAGATAATAGTCTGTGATCTGAAAAACAAAAATGAAATATAATAGTGCATGACCTTTGTGGGCTTCCGTATGTTTGGAAACAATTTCATTTTGCACCGCTATGAACTTGAACTGCTTATACTGTTATAGGATGCCGTCCTTGTCTCTCGAATAAATCAAATGTGTTTCTACAAGATTTGTAATATCTTTAATTAGGCTGTAGAAACACTATTGTTTTCGGATTTTTGAGTCTGCATTTGTTCTGGTCTGTGCTGGAGCAGCATCAGAAGTGGCACAGCTTAGAGGGAACATTGGTTCAGTCCCTAATGAGCAGTGCTGCTCTTAACTTAGTTATTTTGACAGGAAGGAAAGGAACATTGTTATTTTGTGAGTGTGTGTGTGTTCTTGTCGCACTGCTGCGGTTCTAACGGGTTAAAAGGTGGATGCGTACTTGCTCTCGGTTGACAGGCAGAACGCAGAGTGCCGAATGTGTTTAACTGCTTCGCAGGCTGTAAATTTGTCACACTGTCATTTGCCGACATGTTTTACATAAAACATGTTTTTCTAGGTATTAGGTTTCTGCAGAAGCTCATGCTAGAAATGATCATAACTGGAAAGTTCAGGGTTGAAAAACTTTTTTGACAACTCGTGAACAGAAACACTTCACTTTCTTTCTATTACTTGTTTTAATAAGTTTTGTTCATATTATATTTGGATCAAGTTTTTACATGACATTTGGATTATTATTCCATTCTAATGAGTAATCATTTTATCTTAATTAAATGAAAATAATTTTAGGCAGCTTCTCCAGGTTTGATTCTATCACCAGGGTTTTCAAGAACTACTTTTAATAAATAATATCCATTATTTATGTATTTATTTTTATCAGTTCTGAGCTGTTTTAAATATTAAGAAGTATACTTGTTTTTTAATCCAGCATTTCTTCATTTAGCTAAAATAAAATAAATAATTATTTAAAATAATTATTTTTGTTTTAATTTAATATTTCAAGTCTCACAGACATTTTGTTTAAAACATAAATCTCCCTTGCATTCCTTCAGGCTTTAGTTCATTAGTTTAACCAGATTCTGACACTCCACAAATTATTAGTTTGACTACAGTTGTCAGTGTAAAGGTTTCAAATCCCTGGTTTAATGTGATTTATAGAGGGAAACACACACACACAGGTTTTGTTATCAAAAAAAGGCGCTAAGAAGCTTTCTCTCTCTCTCTCTCTCTCTCTCTCTCTCTCTCACACACACACACACACACACACACACACACACACACAATTCATGTCCTGGAGAGCCATAAAAGAGATGATGTCATGTCTGAACTGGAGACTGTGTGTGTTTGCACTGATCCGTTTCTCATTCAGAACCATTGAATGGGCCAGATCGCTCTGAAAGAAGACCAAAAAAAGCTCTGAAATCCCCAGCAGACGGCCTGAAAGTTGCCTATTCTAGTCAAATTTAATTTGACTCAATCTTCTATAAAAATATAGACCAGTTTTTTGTATATTTTAAGGGTCTATACCTATTCCAGGAGGGATTTATGATGATTGTAAGACTGAAAATAAAAGAATGTGACTGATTTTGGTCATCCTTCAAAAAGCCTGCTGCTAGTGTTTTTTTCTCTTTCTCTCTCTTTTCAGCTTGCTTTTGACAGGTAACTTATTTCAGCATATTTAAAGGCAACATTTGACTTTAGTATGCTGTACATACAATAGTTTCACAAAACTGAAGTCAACCCATTCTGTTTTTGCTTCAAATTTCGAAATTATACAATCTAATTTAGATAAAAAAAACTGCTCATGTTGCATGTATGCAGCATCTTTGTTTTGGATCATGATTAAAATGCAGTGGTTGCCTCTAATTTTAAATGGAAAGAGCACAGACAACGCCTTATTTTTTATATGAAGAGATTTCTTTTTATTTGTGTTACTTATGTATTTGATTTGGGGCTTGCTTTAAAATTTCAATTTAGTTTTGTTATTTACTGTACATTTACATTATATTTAAATTTTGTCATTTAGCAGACGCTTTTAGCAAAGCGACTTACAAATGATGACAATAGAAGCAATCAAAACCAACAAAAGAGCAATGATATGCAAGTGCTATATTAGTATATTATTATAGTTATATTTCAATTTCACAAAGAAATGTGCAGCATTTTGTCCAAGCAATAATAAAAAGGACACATTTAATTTATAATTTGTCTTAAATCTCATTTTGTAAAAAACCCCCCAAAAAACGTGAATCGAATCGAATCGAATCAAAATCGTGAATCGAATCAAATCGTGAGTTGAGTGAATCGTTACATCCCTATTCTTTAGATTTTCTGATGAAATGTGACTCATGTTTTTATATGATTTATTTTTAAGTAAAGCTGTTGTATTAAAATTTTTGTGCAAATACTGTTTGTATTTAGGCTATCTAACCTTTAATTTTCTTTCTTTTTTACCTTCTCTAACTACAAAAGCTATTTTAAGTTGTGAAATGAGCATGCTAACAATTATTTAACATACTTTAAATGTCAAGTATATTTTAGATTTTTTATTTGAGAATAAAATTCCTCAAAATACAAAGGGATCCTCCCGTTTTGGGGCAGACACAGGGGAATGCTTTGTGTGTGTATGTGTTGGACTAAAGCGCCCTTGAGAGGCAGGTTTAGAGGCAATAAAGGGAGATCTGGGAAGTGGAAACTCAATAGCGGCAGGGTTTTGTGTTGCTATTGTGCTCATGAAGTCTCCAGCATCTGTAGACAGCAGCCTGTGAAGTAATGAGTTGTCTAGGTTTATATTGACCGGTCTGGTGCGGTGGCCATGGGGACGATTACATTTGCTATTGAGAGTGAAAGGATTACACATCTAAAATAATTGAAATGCAGGGAATGAATAGATGGAGGTTGAAAATGAGGCTGTC